GGCCCGGGGCGGGAGGAAGGAGACCCTGGCGTCCCAGGGGTCCCGGCTGGGGCAGACGCGAGGGGCCTGGGGGGGCGCTGGCTTTGGCCCCGCCTGGGGCAGGATGGTGAATCTGGAACCCTTGCACACAGGTGAGGGGCGGAGGGGATGAGCTCTGACAGGTGTCACTGCGTCCGGGTTAGGGGAGGAGAGGGACGCCTCTGGGTGGTGGGGAGGGGAGGGGGGTTCTTAATTCCCAGCGGCCAGGAGAGGGCAGTATGGATAGCGGGTCTCCTGAGTAGACAGGTAGTTAGATGTTTGGGGGAGTTTGGAAATGAATGAAGGTGGGGGCTATTGGGCGGGAAGTCTTAAGTCCCCACTCTGGAGAGTGTCAGATGTGTGGGACTAGCTGTGCTGAACTGCTGTAGTCTCCGTGAGGTACCCAGTTGGCTGATTGCAGAAGGGCGGCACACTCATTCAGCCAGGGGTGTGGGCCTGGGAGCACATAAGTGAGGAAAATGCATGTATCCACATGTTCCATTTTGGTGTCCGCGAATATATGTGAAGTGGAGGCCTCATGGTGCACTCTCTCCGGTGGGCTGGAGGGGGGCCTGGGGAAAGTGAGGGGGCGAAGCATTCTAGGAGACACACCTGAGGGAAGTGCCATGTCACAAGTGTATTGATTAGGGCTTTTGCAAGCACAGGTCCACAAGTATCTCTGAGGTGAGTCTGCCTTTCCCCAGGTGTGTTGGGAGAAGTGGTGGAGGCGACCCCATGTGCGAAGCTGTGCCCACCCACGTGCTCTGTTGGTCATACAGGTGGGATGTAGTGCCTGGTGGGGCTGGGCAGTCTGTGTGCAGGTGCCGGGTGCTCTGTGGGAGGAGCAGCCTGCACCTGGGTCTGTGGGCTGCGTGTTTGCATGTCTGTGTCTGAGAGGGGCCGGTGACAGACACCATGTCCCAGGGATTTAGGCCCCAAGCCTTCCTTCCCAAAGGGTTGGAAACCAGGAGAACGAAATGCTTTTCCAAGAGTGTGTCCTGTCAGTGAACGATAAGTGGGCATGGCATGAGCCAAGCCCCTGCCCCCTGTCCCCCATCCCCCCATTCACCCTTGACCCCTCCTTCCATAGCCAGGCCATAGCCACACTATCAATCCTGAAGTGTTTTCTTGGTGTCAGGATGGGCCTTTTAGACGCCCCAGGGCTTATACAGAAAACAGACTTGAGGCGAAGAGAGCTAAATCTGATTTGGCCATTTGAAACCAGCAACTTGCCTTTCAAATGGGGCAGCACCCTAAATGATCTTTATTCAGGATACCAAGGTTGTTGACAGGAATTGTTACCTACTCTGCTTTCTGGAGGAGTCACAGGAAGTGTGGAGGAGGCAATTCTTCTGACCTATCCCAAAAAGCAGAGCCGGCTGGAAGCGTTGGCTATTCTGACACCTACCAGTTCTGCTATCACACAGCAATGAAGGCTCAGGGGTCCCCGGTCCACGGTTTCCCAGGCACGGTCCATACAGGACTAGGAAGAAGGCAGACCGACAGAGACGTGTTGACTTTGAGTGGATCCCCAGGTGCCAGGACATGCCAGGAAGGGCTGGTGAGGCAGGAGGGACCGTCCAACTGGGTGTCATCCAATGTTTGAGGAAAGTCTGTTTTCAGACCCTGTGGCACCAACATGGAGCCTGGCACACCCGGCTCTCCTTCCTGCACTTCCCACTGGAAGGCCGGGTTTGAATGGGAGAAAGACTCCAGAAAGGTGGCCTCCCTAGTGGAAAGCTCTCTAGGACCAAGATCAGAGACTTCCTGGGGGTTTTCCACCTCATTGTCTACTTAATGGAGGCTCCAGTTCTGGGGGAAGTGGGAGGAGGTGGGACAGCTGGGACCCAGCAGGGGAGCCGCCTCGAGGCTGAAGGATCTAGCTGAGAGCCAGAAGGAGTGAGGCTGAGACAAAAAGTGTCAAGTCCCATTCCTTGGCTGTGGAAGAAGTTCTAGAATGGTGCCTCTCAAAACAAAAGCCCAGTGTCTGACTTATCCCTGCCACCTACAGGCAGGGCTTCTGGACACAAAGGGGGAGATGGAGTTAAACCCAGGTGGTGTCTCCTCAGGATGGGATCTCCATCCTGACTCCTCTCTCTTCATCTCCTTGCCACTATACCTCAGCGTCATCTTTAGTGCTCCCCTCAGGATTGCCTGGGCCTCCCCATGAAGCTTTATAGTTTCGGCACATCTGTGGTGTCTGGTTCCTCTTTAGAGGCACCTCAAAGGAGTCTCTCAGTTTGGAACTTTCTATCTCGTCTCTGACAGGGTTTTCATTTGAGGACATACTTTGCTGGGCCTGCTCTGTGAACTTTTCAGTCTGGGATTGTCTTTGTTTTTGTGGGGTCTTTCAGTGTGGACCCTGCTATGGGGGCTGTGAGGGAGGGCCCTCTGTGGAGTGTCTCATTGTGGGACCCTCTCTAGGGTCTCTCAGTCCAGGATCCTCTGTGAAAACTTGGTCTCGTTTGAGTTCTAGATTTCCCATAGCAGTAATCCTGTATCCTGTTCATTCTCCATAAACAGTAATTCCCCTGTGAATTCCCAGCCCTCAGCCTTTGGATACTCCTCCTCAATTGATTTACTGGGTGGAGGAAGGAGGGGGAGCAGGGCACTCAAAGGAGAGCGTGGGCTTATTCCCGGGTCCCCCACTCAGCTCTACAGCACTGCAGCCCTGAGTCAGCCCGTTTTTTTGCTCTGATAACCAGGGTGCAAGCCATGATTCAGGTTGGCCTGGGGCCTTAGCACTTTGTACTTTATAGAGCATCTCTCACACCGGAGCACAAACACCTGAGAGGGCATGAGGTCACCAGACACGGGGGCACCCCAGCTAAGGAGGGACTCCCGCTCTAAGGCCAAAAACAGGCAGAAGGGTAGACAAGAGTCAGACACTTAGGCAGACAGACAGCTAGAGAAGGAAAGAAGAAAATAGTGGTGGAAAATAGCCAGCTGAAGAGAGGACATCTGGTCGACCCCAGGGCACCACTTTGTCTGCCCTTCTCACTGAGCTATTCCCCATCAGAGTTGGGAAACCAGGGTCACATCTCTTAGACTAACAAAAGTGAGAGCTCAGAAATGCCATTTGGGTTGGAAATACCATTTGGGTGGGAAGGCCTCATGGTGAGAAGTGGATTTCTCTTGAAGGAGAGCGAGAGAAGCCTCCTCTAGGGAGCACTGAAGGCTTGGCAAGCTGAAGTGGGATGGTGGGACCCTTGAAGTTTCCCTGGGAATGTTCCCCATCAGTGAGGGAGGAGTCAGCAGGGAACTCTCCCCATCTTAAAAGATGAAGATGAGCCTTGGCAGAGGGTAGGTGGGCCTCTACTTTCCCAGCATTACCTGGGCTCCCTCTCCCTCCCAGGTTTAAGAGGTTCAGCTTGAACCCCGGGGGGGGGGGAGGATCCGATGCCCCTTGGACTTTCCTCCTGTGGGCTCGCAGATACATCCTGGGTTGCAGACATGTAAGTGGAGCCAAGGCAAAGGGAGGGCAAGGCCAACATCCAACATCCTCCCCAGCTCCGGAGCACAGTGGTGCCAGGAGAGGCAGATGAGGGTCTGCAGCTGGCATCTAGCCTCATGCACCAAGCAGCTGAACCTCCCCAGGGGAGGGAGTGATGGCAAGGAGCCTACTCAGTCCCTGGCTGAGATAAGAACAGTGAGAAGCCCAGCCCCACCCCACACCTCTCTCATTCACCCCCGGCAAGTGCTGTCGGACAAGTGAAGGGTTACAGCGTCTCGGGGAGTTTCGGTGTTGGCCCATTTTTAGGCTGAGACCCAAGAGCTCGTTCCACCCATCGGCCTCAGCCTCCTACCCAGCTGGAACAGGTTCTCAGTTTCTTAGCATCCTATGGAACTTAGGAAGAGCCTTCTCGTTCCTCCCCTCCATTCAGCTCAAATCCCTGTCCGGTCCGCAAGTATCACCATGTCTTTCCTGCCATCGGTGCATCAAAAGAACAGATGTTCTGGCAGAGTGTGGGGTCTTTGATTCCTTCAAAATCTATTTTTGAACATGATTAGGTTACTTTTTGAGTTAATGTCAAGGATGAGTAAGATGACTTCTGGGTATGTTTAAAGGCACAAGGGGAATATGGTGCTAGAGGAGGGTTTGGTTACAGGTATAAAATTTGGCTTAGCTCCAAGACCGACCCATCTTCAATGTCAAGAGTTTGAATAAGTTGATTTAGCAAAGCTGATCAGCATCCCAGCCTTGCTGCCTCTTAAATTCTTCCTGTCTCTGCGAACATTTTTCCCAAGAAGCCAGAGTCAGGAGAATGTAGGTGGCTTCCTCGTGGAAAGGACAAATACAATTGTGTAGAGACAGAGTGTTAAAACTGTGCATTGTGATGGGATTAGAGGGACACGGGGACTAAAGTGGAAATGTAAGTATCTTTGTAGTAAGTTTGTTTATTCCATGCTGACTTTGTGCCAGTTACATGCGATGCAGTTTTCATTCAGTATTTCATTTCTTCTGCAGGATAACTCAGGGAAATATCTTAACACCAATTTTTTAGTTTCAAAAGTCAAGGTTCAAAGATATACCCAGGGTTGATTGTCCAGTTAGTTAGCATGACACTTTGATTAAGTCCTGGTCATTAGCCCCAAACCTCATGCTCCGAATTCCAAAGACTACTGCAGCAGTTTACAGACCCACTCAGGAGGACTCGCCCCCTCCCCACCCCCACCTCCTGCACCTTCCCAGTAGTTTCTGATTTTTTTTCTCAATGCTGTTGAATCCCTGAGGGGAAGTGTGAGCTGCAGGCTGTGAGTGTTCACCAATGCCCAGCTCAGGGGCTGTCTTGGTGGGCGGTACAAAGCAAAGGCCATTCTCCATTGGAGCGGAAGGCCCTGGCCCAGAAGCCCCGGGTAGATGTGTCCAGGTGGCCCACCCTAGTTATTCTGCATGTTCATGCATGACAGACTCACAGAAAGTTTCAAACTGCAGCAGGAAGGACTTAGGTTAGGCTCCGCAAGTGCCTTTCTAAATGTAGTACACTGGGAGGGGTGTTGAGGATGGTGATAGGGTTTCCACTGCCAGAGGTCTGTGCGGTCCATGAGAATGTCCAGGGCTGGGAAGTTGTCCCTTTGTATTTACCTGGGTGTCGTCAATTTATATTACAGTGCATTTGTATTTAGGGCATTCAAAAATATTCCTTAAGCCATGGTGACCCCTAAGGTGACTTACCTCCTCCTCTGATTCTGGGGTGTCCAAGGACTGAAGGCCTTCTGCTCTCCTCATCTCTGTCTTGCTGGGCGGGGCAGTCATCCCTCCTGCTCTGGGTCACTACAGCCCCAGGGGACCACAATTTAAATCTCTGTCAGAGTAGCACAAGTCATTGTCCTTTCAAAAAATAAAGGTCTTTTCCTGGGGTGGAGGTCCACCCATTTCCCTCATCCTGATCATCTCCAGACCTCGGGGCGTCCAGACTGCCAACTGCCTGATTACCTGATGCAAATGAACACAGCCTGCCCAACTGGGATTGGCTGGGGAGCTGGTATGCAAATTGTTCACGGAGACTTTATCTGGTTTGAAAGAGTTAAAGTGCTGCCCCAGAGAAGAGGGTGGGGGGTAAGGGGGGGTCAACATGATTTGAATAAAATATTCTTCAGTCTTTAACGGCTTCAGTATTTGGGTAGTTTAATAAGGAGAGGAGCCTGAGAGAGTGAGTTAGTTCAAAGTTGCCTCTTGCCTTACTCTCTGCTGACCCTGGAGGAGACTTAGGGGCCTCTTAGGTGGTGGCAGCTGTCTGTTGTGGGTAAATGTTTAATTTATTGTAATGAAGCAGGGCAGAGAGGCCGGAGCAGCAGCACTGGGGGCTGAGACTGGCCTTCTGTAGGTAGTTTCTGTCTGTGGGGCACTGACCCGCCTGCCTTCCCCTTTTCACTGAGCAAGTTGAAGGAATAAGAACCAAGGTAAGGACCCCCCCAAAGGGCCAGATCTCCAAGCAGGGCAACCCAGGAGTGAGGGTGTGATCCTCAGACAGTGCGCTGACCTCTGAAACCAGACAGTGCAGAGGCAGGAACTGGGGGAGAAAGGTGAGGAGGGCAAGCAGACTCTCGCCTCCCCAGTGGGGTTATCACGGGGAGAAAGGGGAGCTGGATGTTTCCTGTGCTGCTTTAAAAATAACCCCCCTACTCCTTCAAAGAAAGGAGGTCTGAGAATGGAAAGTGTCTTCTCCTATCTCCTGCTGTCCCCCTCCCCTTGTTAAATTTTTACCAACTGTGCCTGGTGATAGAAGGAAGTGGCCATGAATGATGGGAAGAACAGGAGAGACCCTGCAGTAGCACTGAGGAAAGAGGGAGAGAAAGGCAAGGGAAAGGAGGCAGGAGGAGGGATACGTGCCCCAGAGCTTATGAATATTCTAATGGTTGTATGTTCGGGAATCAGGAATTTGAAAGTCTGATGGTTGTTGTAATTACACATTCATCTCTGCTGTTTCGTTAAAGCCACATATGTCATAGCAAGAAAAATTGTGACCTGTTATTAAAATCAGTGTGCTTTCCTTGCAGCTATCAAGATGAGTGGGGATGTAGCTGATTCCACGGATGCTCGAGGTACTCTCAGCCAGGTGGAGACAGGTAAGGATTTTCTCTTCCCGGGAATGGATCGGCAGAAGCTGTGGAAATTGTATCTCCTCTTGGCTGGGTCTTTCAGCCAATCAGACCCCAGAGCTAGATCTTAGGAAAGAAAGAATTCCCTGGAGACATGGCTTATACCTTTGGAACCTGCAAACAGGAGAGAGTGGTCTGTCGTGGAACAAACCTCTGGAATAAAGCTAGGAATGGGCCAGAGCCGTCAAAACAAAACAAAGCCAAAAAGTTAGAGAAGAGATTCTCTCCTGATGGGCCATTCCAATGGCCCCTATCAGTTGCCAGCTCTGTTCCCAGCGGCTACGAAAGGTTGTCATTAATAGATGGGGACCGGGGCCCTTTCACACCAAGTTTCTCAATAGTCCTGCTCAAGGAGCCAACCAAAGAGTGCTTGGCAAGAGTTTCTCTTCCAGATTATGTGCATGTGGGTGGTAGAGAGGAAGGCTTGGTGCCTGGAGATGACTTGGCTTTGTAGAGAAGAGAAAGAGGTCAAGAAAGAATTGAGAAGAAAGTTTCATAGCTCTCTACTTTTAACTCCATAGTCCAAGCCTTGCTTTGAAAACTCCATATAATTAAAAAGAACTTAAAGGATGAGTATAAATTGTAACACCACCAAATAACTTTAATAGCATCCCAACAAGACCTCAATTAGTCTTTCATCTGGATCATTAGAGACAGAGAAATTAGAAGTGGAAGAGAATCGATGTCCCCCAGAGCTAAACTCTTTTCCCAAGTCCTCGGATGCAGTCTAGTTTTGTTCTTGAGGTGAAAATAACACAGGATCAGGGGTAAGATAATTGGGGGTCCCGTGGGGAGGGCATCTGCATAATGCATTTGCTGCAAACCTTTTGCCCCTCAATTTAATAATGACACTGTTTATTTGCACAGACAGAGCTTATTTTACTTTCTGTATAGGGACAGCAGAACTAGGAGACTGTGTACCAGTTGCATCCATTTATCATGGATTTGTTAATTGAGATTATTTTTGCTGAGAGCCAGTCTCCCCAAATGAGAAGACAACATCCTGCAATCTCAAGAACTTGAACATGGCTGTAAGTTAGCTGGAGAAAGATGGCATCGTCTCTGCTCTGATATTCTTCCCGAGAGAAAACTCAGTCTAGAACTATGATTCAGAAGCTGGCTCATCCATTCCTGGAAGCAGGCTGGCTGGAGCCAACTGTGTTCATCTGAGCTATGTCCCCAGATATATGGGGGTCACAGATAGGCTGGCACCGGTGCTCTGTTATTAGTTACATGAACCAAGTAAGGGTAGCAGTGTTGCGAATGAGAAGGAGCTACTTTGGTAAGCCAGGAGGCAGGGAGTTCAGATCTGAGTTAGGAAGGTTAAGGTGTTGTGGACAGTCTGAACAAATTCTGGCCTCCTACCTGGGAGGGGGCAGCTTATGGGTGGGGGTGCTCTGCATAAACTAAGTTGAAGGAGAAAGAGTCTGGACATTGGCTGGGGCTTGGGGAATCTGACTCTTTTCAGAGTAACTGCCAGTTCACGGTGCGATCTTAGATCAACCTCTTTGCCTTTCTAGGAGGCCCAAATAGATGACCTTTGAAGAGGAAGCATTTAGACTCAGGCAGACTGGGATAAAAAACACAGCCCTATTGTTTACTGGTTGATGATCTAGTAAGCTCATTCAGCTTCGCCTCTCCTGTAACTGGGCAGCATTCGTATCCCTGGGGGGAGGGTGGGGGGGGGGTAAGGGTGTGTGTGGGGGGTGTGAGCGTTCTCAGAGATGACTTACAGCCCAGGTGCTGGGCATGTGGTTTCAGTGGCCCCGTTTACCTTTAAGGGCATCCTGAAGCTACTGTGATTCTGATCTCCCTTTTACTCAGGCCAGGAAGTTACTTTTGTTCCTTTCTCCATTCAGAGAAGAATTCTGGATGGTGCCTCCTGGCCCCCAGTCCCTGGGTCTGGGACTTCTTCATCTCCAAATCTTTCTCATCGAGGGGCTCGGCTCAGTGGCTCAGTGGCATCCATACTTGGGTGATCATCAAATTACTGCGTGTTTTTAAGGCAAGAAAAAAGAGGTAGCTAATTAAAGTAACCAAACTTCCTGGAAAGTCGTTCTGACTCATTTTTAAGAGAGGAAAGCTTATTATGAGTCACAATGGTTAGCAACTTCATTTAATGGCTTCCTTTGGATTTTTAAAAGGACGATTCTCCTTCCCAGCAGTGCATGAAATACGGGGTGGTTGGTGTCTGGTTTTTAAAGGAACTATAAACAAAGGTGACCTAGAAAGCTCAAGCTCCCTGAGAGCACCTCTGGGTTGCATGAAATCCCAGGAGGGTGGGATCTGGGCAAGGGAAGTAACTTCTCCACCCACACTGGCTTGTCTGCAAAAAAGGGCACCAGAGGCCCAGACGCAGACCTCCTGGCTGGCAGGGACCTGGTACAGCTGCCCATCTTTCCTTCCCTTCTGCCTCTGAGGACTCACAGCACAGATGAAGGAAAAAATGCCCAAGACATGGGGGCTCCCCGGTGGTGTAGGGATGAAGTCTCAACTCCACGGCCTGAGTTTGATCCCCAGCCAGGGAGCTGACCCACATGGTGCAGCAGTCTTCTCCTGTCTCGCCCGCTGCTCCCCTCAGCAGTGTATTTCAGTACATCTGCCTGTTCTGCTCCCCACTCTTTCTCTGTTGAATGCTCTTACCCCCACCCTACCTATGGCCTGCACCCCATTTCTTCTGCACAAAAAGACATACATAAAATCTTTAAAATAAAAAAAAGAAAAGAAAAAACCTGTCCGAGGTCTCAGCGCTTCTTTGTGGCAGCACCAGGGAGCAAAGCAGGAAACTGGGCTGTCCCCTCCACGCCCCTCACAGCTCTGCAGCTGAGCTGTTGTTAGATTTCTAAACCATCGGCCCTTCCTTTTAACACCCTCCCTGCATTTTTGAGACTGAAACATTTCTTTTTCTCTCCTCCCCTGAGTGGCTAAGAGTAGGGCCCTACCCACCTTGCCAGAGTCACCAGGCCCATAACAGACACCCCAAATGCCTGTGCAGCCGACCCATGACTCCTGGCCCGCTGGTCACAGTGTGGGCTCAAGCACACAGAAGGCCAAATCCCGTGGACTGGAGAAGGAGAAAAAGGCCAGTCACATTCCCAGAGCATCCACCCCAGATCCAGGTACATACGTGAGCCCCAAACTTTGCATACTTTATCTTCTTGCTATCCCTGTGTTCATCAGTGAGAAGCTGTGACTCAGAATGAGAAGCAGACACCCAGAATCACACAACTTCTAGCTAGGACTCTGGTGAATCGGACTCTGGTGTGCCTGGCTCCAGGCTCTGCTCTAACTCCCTGCAGGTTATTGGGCAAGTATTTCCCTCCCCAGACCTTGATTTTGCTCCCCACGGAGGACGGATTTGGGCTGGATAATCTCTAAGAATGTGCCCTCCCTTCTGCTTTTCCAAACTCTCTCCCTTCTGTTGCCACATCCTGCATTTGTGTGTAGGCCTGCTCAGGGCCGGGCTCTCCCTCCCTCCTGGCTCCCTCAGTTGTCACTTTCTCTTCCATCCACCTTCCCTTTCAGAGCACTCCCCTCTGACCCTGGCTGCCTTGCTGTGGAGTCTTGGATCCCCTTCTCTGACCTGACCTAGCCCCTAGATGGCAGCCCTCCCACTGCCAGCTTGTATCCTCAAGAAGGTGAAGCCTGTCCTCTGGGAGCTTTCCTCTGAGTGCAGGAGTCACAGCAGTGGGGAAGACGTGGGCTTGTGTCTGGAAAATATGCTCTGATGCGTCACGCATTTGACCTTGGGAGAGGAGGTGTCATCATTCCACTTTGCAGATGGGGAAACTGAGGCTTGCAAGGGAGAAAGTGTTAGCTGATATGCCCCTCGGCCCCATATCCACGGCAATTAAACCTGGGCTTTCTAGTGATTTGCTACCCAATGGTCATGACGGAAAGCTTGGGGGCCAACACAGGGCACCGGGGATGAGGGACACAAGGGTGGTAGCATCAAAAGAGATGCCAATCTAATGGAGGTGGCACAGGCAAAAAGAGCCCCTGGAGGGTGGGTGGGGTCTAGTTCGGCCAAGAGGCAGAGGCCTAGACGCGGGCCAGGCTGGTTTGTTGGATCAAAGAAGGAAATGGCTGAGGTCGCCTCACTCCATTGGAGTGAACTGTAGAGGGTGGAAGTGTGGAGAAAACTCTCCTTCCTCCCTTCATTCTCCCTGGGGTGTCAGCTAACACTTTCTCCCTTGCAAGCCAGTGCACCAGTCTCCACTCCCACCTTTGCCGTAAGTGACTGAGGAGCTGGGTGAGCTTGCAAACCGAGATGACAGTGGAGCAAATGTCTTGTCCTGCTCAGAGGTTTGGGAAGGAACGAAGGAATCGTAAGAGGAGTCGGGGGAAGGAAAGAGATCTCGCAGGGTCTGGGTTTTGCCAATTGTCCCTTCTTGTCCAGCTGCCACTGTCCTAGTTGTAGGTGAAGTGACTAAAATCGGTCTCGCTTCCGGAAAGATCAGCCAGGACTGTTTGTGGCGTGATGGCCATTTGCAGAAAGTCTCCCCACTCCACCTGAGACTGTTCCGCGTGGTGTTAACAAGGAGTGGACCTGATTTCGTAGGGCAGCTCAAAGGAGGCAGAGGAAGGCTCGTGATTCTCATACGGTTCCAGAGAAAGAATGAGTAATTGACCCAAGATGAGAAACTCCTGCTCAGTCAACGCATTCCCATCCCTCACCATCTCCACCCTACTAGTGCCCAAGCAAGTAAGCTGAAGATAAACTGTCTCATCGCAGCCAAGAGGTGAGGTTTGAGGCAGAAGCGGGCAAAAGACTTTTAGGGATGAGAGTAAGTTTCGACCCAAATATTTATTGAATGAAACTATTCCTACCCCCGCACCCCCACTTTTTAAATTAATGAAGTACCATTGTTTTCCACCTTTGTTAGCATTCTGACAATATAGGGTTTATCCCCAAATTGTGACTATCACAGGTCTCCCACCACCGACGCACCCACAGTTCTCTGCTA